CGATTACTGTCTGTCCATTACGATTTTAGTTGATGGGTGTGTGTGTTTACCGTGAAACCTTATAAGTGTAGTGAGTGTTGGTATAACAAGCCTAAAGTAAAGACGTAGTGTGGGATCATGTAGCCTAGAGCCAAGTGCATAAAATTTATCATGAAAGTAAAAATATCAATTCAGTTCTAATCTTAAATCGTTTCTGAATTTAAAAAATAAAACCTCTTTAACCAACGGAGACACTAAGTTAAGAAATCAATAAATATTTTTCTAGTTTTGTTGTCTATACGTTTAATTTTATACTTTCAGTACATAGACTAACAACAACATTAGGTTATACTTTGTTGCTAAGTAACATGATATAAAAACCATTGTTGGAATGTAGTGTTACCAAAAAACGCTGACTTTTCTATATATTAGAAGTTGTTAATCTACCTGATTTTTACCAATAATTATTCTACGAATACGCCAGGAATTCATTTCATGAATGATCTTAATTTTGATTGGCTCACAAAGGAATTTACCGACGTTTGATTGCCTTGACTGCACTTTTCTGTCTCTTTGTTGGTGTAGCTTGATTTCGCAAAATTTATATATTTCAAATAGTTATGAAATGGGAGATTAATACTATGGGGTGGGGGTGGTAGTACTTGTCCCGTCATTTTTGACGGGGTATACGCTAGTTTTTACTATAATTATTGTATGATTATAATTCCACCAGAAACAATGAACTACTTTAAAACATTGTTACGGTTAGAATGAATGCCATTTTAAAGTTTTGCTAATGACAAAATGCATTTTAAAGTCACCAGTTTTGAATTGTTTAACTACAGACCCGTTTTGTATTTTTGCCAACATTACACCACTTGCATATTCAAAAAATAATAAAATTTATAATCATACTTAATCGATAAAGTCAAAAGTAAATTTCGTTGGCCAGTTTTACTTTTTGTTTCCAAAGAAAAAATATGGTTAACAAAGAACACTTCATTGTTTCCAATATCAAGTACACGACTATTCTATTATTCAGAAGTTGCCAATGCTTCCTAATCTCGTCTTGAATGGGGACTGAAAACGGAAGCTAATTATGTTTTACTTTTACTTCGCAAAAGCTTCCAGTTTATTATAATTACCGTCGGTGATAAAGCACTGCTTTCTGTACTAATGATGAACTCTTACAGTTTTAAAGAAGAGGTCCTTAGCACATCTTAATGTTCGTGTATAAAGTAAGCTATATGAAACTAACTAGATTCTTCCATATATACCATTTAGGCTTGTTCTTATGGAAACAACTTTTTCTTCGGTTTATATGAGACAATATTTTACCGACTTTCAAATGTTAAGTAAAGACTCCGCAGATATTTATAAAATCCATACAAATTTTACAGCAAAGTGATTGAAGCCTTATTGTTTTATTAATTTATAAAATTGTATAATCACAACAATGTATATACATGATGTCCAGATATTACGCACCCAATTAAATTAACGAGTCACACAAACGCAGTAATACGTGGTAATCAGATTTACAGAAGAAATCTCTGTAGATTTATTTCTACACTAGAAATATTTGCGTTTCAAAACTAACGTTGTGCTTGTGAAATTATGAATTTTATCTAACAGTTAATCTATGTATTAGCTGTAAGTCTAGTATAATGCATTTTGCGTGTTGTTGCTGTTTCGCATAAATGATTAAATTCTATGTGTTATATTTTCTGTCTAAATATTTCAGGAACCCATAACGTCACAGCAATCGACTCGAAAAACGAAAATCTTTCTGGAAATATTTGGTATTCAAAAGAAGGTAATCCAGAACTAAATGAGGTAGAAAGAGACTTCAGGAAATTATCTCGAAAAGAAAATCCTTTGATTAGGTCTGGTATTTCTGATTCCCAGATGATTTACACTGGGTATACAGGAGCTTTACTAGTAGTGCAGGATAAGCCTAAAAATAACAAAGGACTAGATGACCGCCCTTTATTTGAAAATACATATTCCGATAATTCGGATGAAATGAGCAGTCTGTCCACAAGTGATCAGTCGTTTAACTTGGAAAAGAATAATTCAAGTTATCCTCCACTGGATCCTAAACAAAGTGAATCATTTCATGATGTTAGAATATTACGACACTTAAACGTTTCCAGAAAAGGTGCTTCTACAGACTTAAATTTATCAGTCTTGTCCGACCGACATAGGTCATCAGAACAATTCAATTTATCCAGAAATGGTAGGTTTTCAACGGATGTTGGTAAATCCTACAGTAAAAAACCATCGCATAACTTGAACATTGCCCCCAAAAAGTCGTTTTTATTCTGGAAAGATTTAACAACTGATGAATCTGATGTCGCGATTAACATCTCAATGCCCTCTTCTGAATTATTAACATCTAGAGAGCATGTAGAATGGAATGTATGCATTAAGGATGTGGAACACAACAGAACGTGGTCAGAAGAAAAGGGCGGCGTGTTGATCACAATGGCTTGTCCAGACTCTTACAAAGGTCAGATCTTCAGAATGTGCCACATTACTGGATTATGGGATGACCCTGATTATCAGGACTGCAGACTTGTAAATCTGGCAAATTTGAAACAAACGGTGAGAACCAAAACAGTTGAAATAATTTCCATTTTTTTATTTTAAGACATATTTTAAGCAATAGATATTTGACAAATATATCTTATAATTCAAATAATCTATAAGAACAATTTTTAGCAACATTTCTGGTAGTAATTCTTGGTTGTGACGTATAATAATTATGGTTCTTATAATTCTGCTGACGGTAACTCTGGCTATATCAGGTACTAACCGTGATTTTTGGTAACACTACTGGCAGTAATATTTATATTTAACTCTTACTAACCATATTTACAGTTTCTCTGCTGCTAGTAATCCTTGGTATTAACTGCTACTAAGCATGCGTGTAGTAATTATTCTCATGTAGCTGGTACTAACATGTTTGTAGTTACCCTCTGGTAATAATATTTGAGTGTAATTGATGCTAATCATGCTTGTAACAATTCTAGTTAGAGTTGGTACTCAACATGCTTTTATTTAATAGTAGTCCTTGTTTGTAGCTTGTACTAAAATGTTTGTTCATAGTAGCTGTTAGTAAGAATTTTTAGTTTATTTGGTAAAGTATCTCTTTATTTAGCTGTTTGTATGGCTTTCTAGTAGGTAAAGATTTTTTAGTCTTTGTTTTTCAGAGTTTTCAGTTTATGTTTAGGAGAGTTTAAAGCTAGTTAGTAATATTTATTTATAATAATTTCTAATGTTTGTCTGTAGAATTTTATAATGGGCGTTTGTATAGTTACTAATTTGTAAGAGTTCGCAGTGACTACTTGTAAAAATATACATTGGGTAAGGATTTGTAATATGTGTATGTATAAGTTTTTTTAAATTTTGTTTAAATTTACGCAAATCTACTCGGCGCTATCTGCGCTATCCGTCCCTAATTTAAAAGTGACAGAGGAAAGGCAGCTCGTTAACACCAGTCACCGTCAACTCTTGGACTACTCTTTTACCAATGAAAAGTGGGATTGAAAATCACATTATTGCGCCCCTACAGCTGAAAGGGCGAGCGTGTTCGGTGATGGGGTTCGAACTAGCGACCAACAGATTGCGAGTCGATTGCCCTAACCATCAGGCCATGCCAAGCCCTTTATATATATAAGAGTTACTAATGTCCATTTATAAAAATTTTCATTGGGTAAGAGCTATTGACATTTGTTTGCAAGAATTTGTGAAGGCTGTCTGTAGGATATTTTAACTGTAAATAGTTTTAATGTCTGTATGTAACAGTATCTAAAAGGCGATAGGTTTTGACGAGTATAAAATTTTATAATAGGTGTTTGTAAACTTTACTAATGAGTAAGAGTTTTGACTGGATTTTTATGAATTTTGTTATTTATAGCAACGTAAAATGTGTCTTTGATAGAATTTAGAGCTTTTTATGAGTAAGGATTCATGATTACTAAAGGGTTAGAGTTTCTGTCTGTTTCAACAGTTACGTAATATATGTTTGTAAGAGATCTTAATATTTGTTTAAGATCTTTAAATGTATGTCTGTGAAAGTTTCTAACAAGTAAGTGTGTCTAATGGGTGTGTGAAAAAATTAGTATCGGGTAAAAAAAAATGTTCAAGCTGTTAAAGTTTTAAATGTGTGGAATAAGAGCTTCTAATTAGTAGGTTTTCATGTGTGCATCTAAAATTCTCTAAGGTGGTGGAAAATGGTTAATACGTGTTTATAGCTTTTGAGTGGCTCTTTGTAAAGACTTTAATGGATTGCTTGTAAATGTTTTATCGACTGTTTTTAAGAATTTTTAACGGCTATTAATGAAAGTTTCGAATGTTCCTGTTTGTTCTGATGTTTGTATAAGAACATTTAATCCATGTTTGTAAGAATATATAATGTTTGATGTAAGTTTCGAATGGGTAAGACCTTGTAATGTGTTTAGTTTATTAATAAAAATGTCTATAGTTTGATTGCAAAAGTGTCCAATGCTTACAATAGTTTTTAATTGTAAGAATTTCTAATACCTATTTTTAAGAGCTTCTAACGTACATGCCATTTTTTAATTGTGTGTTAGTGAGAGTTTTCAATGCATGGTTAAATATAGATTATTTTGCATGAGAGTTTTTCAATGTTTGTTTATAAAAAAACATAATCACCAGTTGAAAAACTTTTAAAGTCATAACTGTTTCTACTGCATGCTTGTAACAGTTTCTAATTGTTGTTCGTAAGAGGTTTTAATGTTAATAGTTTTTCATGTTTACTAATAGGAATTTCTAATCGGTGTTTGTAAAAGTTATTTAATGTCAAGAGATAGTAAGTTTTGTTGCTTTCATTAGAATATGAAAGTTATTGACAATAAAGATTTGTACTTCACATTTTTGAACAATCTTGTGTCTAGATGGTGTAAGATCCTTAGTGAATGATTGATGAATAATGATTTTTTTTATAATTAATGGTTTAATTACATACAGCCTGACAACTGATGGTTACAATTATAATATCGATTATTTTTTAGAATTTGAAAATGTCTTTAGAACATGAACGTGTACTAATTATATACATTAAGATATAATTTTCAGTTACAAACCAGAATTTAGAAATTAAAATAACAACTCCTCTAAAATATTTCTAACAGTTACAAATAACTCACAACCTTAAGAATGGCCTGGATAAAGCTTTAGCTTGTTATAACGTTTTTGGAGAACTTGAAAGTATCCTGACTGAAGAAATCATATACAATCAACAAGATTTATTGGAGGCCACTGAGATCATGACGTATGCACTTGGAGCGTCGTCAAGCTTATTAACGCACAGCAATCTTAGTTCTTCGTTAATTAGGGTAAGTGATCTATTATAGCCTAATCACTTACATCGAATGAAAAGTTAATTAAAACCTACTTTGAGAAGACGCAGGGATTCTACAACACTATAATTGTTATCAGATGAAAAAGAGAAATAATGATCAATCGCACAAAGATGATTGGTTTTCTGAATTCAGGAACGAACAAAGAACCGTTGATTGGTTACTGTTTTCTTTAATTAAATAACTGATATTTACTACAAAATAAGCGGTTTTAGCGATACATTCACTAACCTTTTATCGCTAATCATGGCGGAAGCATATTCGATTTAAATATGACAAAATTGTAATTTGTTATAAAGTGTCAGTTTTTCAGACAGACAGGTTTACCAACTGATAGCGATAGATAGATGATCAATAACTTGTTTCTAGGCTAGAACGAAGTATTATTATAAATGTTATAAGTTTGATAAATTATATAAAGTAACTAGGGGTGTTGTTTATTGTGCATTTATTGTACACTAACTATGTTTTACGTTAATAAGGGTTAGGTTTCTTCATCATTGAAATGTTTTGATTCAGTTTTCATTGCAATGGTTACAAACATAAAAGAAGACTGGAAAGACGACTCCTCGAACCACGAGCAAAATGAACGAAAAAACGAAACAAACAAACACCAAAGAAATTTATCTGTTATCAACACTTATTCAAACCTAACTGGTACAATAGAATCTGAATTTATATTGTTCAAAATGGTCAGTTTCAGCCCATGTTTACGCCTGTTCTACAATGCCTATATTTTAGGCATGTTTTATTAAAACGTTATTATACTTTTTACGCCTCACCTTCTCTCGTGTTCCCCCCTCCCCTCTGTGGGCCAAAGGTAAGTTTACGGGCTAAAATCTACGTTTCGATTCACGTGGTGGACACAGCGGATACCCCACTGTGGCTTTGTTCTAAAACAAACAAATTTTTGTCTTAATTATAGTTAATTAAAACGTAATTCTACATTTACGCTAAGGCTTCTCTTGTGTCTCTTTTAATCATATCTGACTAAAACATAAGTTTATATTATAGATGCATATTTTTTTTATTCTACCTGACGTTTAGGCTTACGCTTATTTCGAGGGTCTTACGTTCAAAGGTACTCGAAAAAGGCGTAAGTCGAAACATTGAATAGAATAAAAACATTATCCAAAGTTGTTTGTTGTATTCCTTGAATAAGAGTTTATTTAAGTCTGGTTTTCTTCTGAGTAATAAACAGATATGGAGTTGTGTCACTGGTGCTTAATTAAAATAAGACTAACTGATTTAAAAAAACTGCATTTCCGCGTTAACTTCTCCCTTAGCTATGTCTTAGTATTATATACTTAAAGCTCAAAGGTAGGAATTTTCTCAGACACAAACAACCCACCTGATTTAATATTATTGTCACGAGATTTTATTGAGAAGAAAGTTATAGAAGGAGATTGTTACATCTTTCAATTTTTATGCTCCTGTGAGTTACATTAGGTTTGGTTAACAACACCTTTATTAATAACGCTGGACTAGACCAAAGTTAAAGTTGTCTAACCAACGGATAATAGTGTTTCTGTTCATTCATTCGTTGCCTCATTATAGCTCGGTACATAACTTTTCTGACACCAGGAAAACCATTATATTAAAGGTTGGAAGATTATAGCCGATTTAAAATAAATGTCAAACAATTAATTGTTTCTAACCGACTTATTGATTTAGGTCGATATGATGAGTATATTAACGATAAATCGAACTATTTATTTAAATGCATTATGGAAAATGTGATTAAGATTTTATTATTCGAAGAAACTGTGGAACAGAACATAACAAATCATACCAGTAAACCACACACAAGAAGAGTTATTGATTTGATAAAAGGAAAAAAAACAACAACATATAAATCCAAACTGTAAGATTTTGCAATACGACACTATTTTGTTTGTTTGATGTAGCGCAAAGTTATACAATAGTAAATATGCGCTCTGTCCACAACGGAGAAGTGTACCCCAAACTTTAGCGTTGTAAATCGGTAAACTTAACGCTGACCCAAGAATGATGTCACTAAATAGTGGCTATCGGCTTAAAAAGACATAAAAAGAAAACAAAGCCAGATTGTAATATTTTACAGTATGAATATATGGAAATGAATAGTCAGATATCATGTCACTAAGTAACACACAAGACGGGTTACCGAGAAAAGTAAAAATAAAATCCAGGCTATAAGCAACATTTTTTATTTCTATATTAAGATCTTAAGTAATTGAGTGTCCAAAGGTCATATCAGTAACAGAATCGAAATTCTGTTTATCCA